GGCCATTGAAAAATTTTGGCCTGGGGGAGGGCCATGGAAAAAATTTGAGCCGGGGGAGGGCCATCGAAAAAAAATCGGCCTGGGGGGGAGGGCCACCGAAAAACTTTTGTAAAATATGGCGTCGCGTAGTACCGAATTACAAGAAAGACGCCGTAAATTCCCGAATATAGTACGCACTTTTTACATTTTTCAAAATCCCAGAAGTGTCTCGGGCCGTCGCCAAAGTCGCGGTGCGTACTTTATTCGAGTTTTCCGCCGACAAATCCGTGGACAACCCAGGAATATACCGGAACACCGGCACGGGGAGCTTGGAACATCGATCGTCTATAGCATGTTTAGATAAGAATATTGACGAGTGGAAATAAAGTTAAACTTCAATAAATGAACATATTTCCTGTGACTATCGTCGATATTGACACCAAGTTGCGGTAAAAAGAAGAAGTCAAGTCACCCACGGTAAGAAAATGTAGGTCTCTGGCAATGACGCCCGACGCTTTGTCATGCCGACAGGATCGTTCCCCATGCAGCTAGCCGGCGCCGATCTCAGTAGAACCCCGGCAAAAATATAACCTCCCGTAAGTACACATACAATTGTAGGGTTTGTGAGTGGTAATATTTGAAATGGTCCGCAAGCCGTGAACGTTCTTGATCGTCGTAACGTAACGTGATAACATAACAGTTGTGCCTCGACTGATGGTCACCATTTCAAATACACTTCCGGCTTGAGTTCAACTCAGGAATCTTCAACAAAGATTATGCCCATGTCGTTTCAAAGGTTCAGAAATTGTTAACCATGTTTCACTTCGTATCACAACTATTTTTAAATCTTGATAAATGCTTGATGAATCGTTATTGACCATAATTTGCTTGCTTGATCACCAACACTCCAAAGCTGGATCCAAATCTGTGCGTTTCGCCGCACTTGCCTTACCTTTCGATGCGGTGGTGACGGCAAGTCGGCTGCGACCGGCGGTGAAAACAAGGCCGAACTTGAAACGTTTCCCGCTACGTTACCATAGAATCACGTAGTACACGGCGTAAATCTAGTTTTTAACCATTTCAAATTTGTTTGGAACGACGAACTGTCTTTAAGACATACATACTAACAGTTACATGTTCACTGTGGTACCGGCCGTGCGTAGAAGGGGTGCGTACTTAATTCGAGTTTTTCCATTTTACGTTTCAGACGGGAATATTTGTCTCCCACCAGCCCCAAGTCGGGGGTGCGTACTTTAATCGAGATGCGTACTTCATACGGAGGGAGAAAGAGACATGGACTAGAAAAATGGGGGGGAGGGCCACCGAAAAATTTTTTGGGGTGGGGGGAG